CTCCTTTTTTTTTTGCACTGTTTGACACTTAGTTAACAGTAGCTACCTCCCCCGATGCCCTTGAATCGCTTTTTTGAATCCATGTTTTCCTGTACAATTCGAAAGATGATGTTTCGATAGAGAAGATTATTAAACGAAGCTGACAAATCGCTTTCAGCTGTTACCCAAGCAGTTGCTGGAACAGAGAAACTTCGAAAACCTTGCGAGCGAGAAATTATTGTTATCGGACTGCTAGAACATCACCCTGTCATTTAAAAATCTCATTTTTCGAAAAAATACAGTCAGCTAAATATATTTGCGCGAGATTTTTGATTCTCGAATATACCTGCGCGAGATTTTTGATTCTCGAATATATCTGCGCGAGATTTTGAGTCTGAATGTAACACGTGATTCAGGTAGTACAGGACACCAGGAAAAAACGCAAAAGATTTATGTTTTTTTTTTCTGCAGAGCAGTGAAGCTGATCCAGCGCTGAAAGTTTCTGGCGGAGAATGCGTGATCGCTTCGGAAGAAGAGAGTGGTGGTTCTCTGTACAAAAAAATGAACCTGTTGATCGGTCAATTACCGGCACGAGCACTTAGTCGTTTACCGTTTCATCCATTTTTGTTCGAAAGTCCAAAGGATCTGCAAAATACTCTACTGCCAATAATCCATGCCGAGCTGACACTGTGTAATGTTGAAGTAAGTTTTTCTTTTTTCTTGCCCCGTTGCGTAATTTTTCCTTTTTCATATTGCTTTTTTTTTACATATTCATTTCAAACTTGCGAGAAAAAATCATGGGCTAGGTGACTAATAAATGTTGCATTTTGGGTCAGGGCAGAAGAAAAAGTTTGCTTATGCTCCTGAGGATTCAAGTGATTGCTGATCAGAGTGATTACATAAGTTTATCTGCTAAACAGAGGTGTTACCACCACTCTATTCGCCAGTACTCTTGTTTAGTTCATCCAGAAAAGCAGCTTCTATTAGCCTGATCATATGTCCGGCTAAATGCATTGCGTGATTTCATACCATGGAACAGAACAGACAAAACGCAAAATTGTAAATGATGTCTTAAAATCTCGGCCATATTTCACTTTGCGTCAAAAGTGGAGAGTTTGAGACTCTTTTTTAGTGGAAACATTTTGCTAATAGCAGCCAAACGCTGGCAAGGTATCGATGGCAGACTTTTGCGGGCAGAGTCGTTTTTTGAAAATGGCTGTGGACCAGAAGGGAATCGAACCAGTCGTCTTCACATCTGGACGTGACGTGCTAGACCACTACACCATCGGCTCTTGTACTGCTCGCACCTGGGCAGCTGTGTTCTGTATGGCACTCCCCATACATACTCTGTAACGTCTGGCTGATGGACCTTGTGCAGCATACCTTTAAGCAATTATCGGGCTTCAGCGGAATTTCTGCGATATCGGCTTGCTTTTTCAGTGAATTTCATAAAAACACCGTAGATTTATTCTCGCACCAATTACTAGTTACTGTTCCTCACGAGTAGATTTTTTACAAGTACAGCTGAAGCAATAACTTACGCTTGATAAGAATAGCGAAAGACTATTTGTCCTCTAAATGTTTTTAGCGGAACTCGACATAATTTTTCATAAATCTATAGATGTAAATTGCAGAACTGGCAAACGTTTATCCGGGCAATGCCGAAAATACACATTTCAAAATCGGATCTTTTGTCCAGCACTGTTTTAATGACCGCACAAGCATATATAAATAAGGCTTTCGATATCGACCAAAGTGATATTGACAGAATTAAGCAGCTGCTCCTAAAGACCACGAACAGACTTCGAACACTGAAAGGATTAACAGATGGATTCAAACATTTGCCGCTTTGTAAGATTTTTTTCCAGACTGTTCACGGAATAAAT